AAAAAAAAAAAACTCCTAGTCTATTTTCATAAACACAAAAAAACAAAAAAAGTTGGAAAAGTCAAAATCAGGAAACCAATACCTAGGAAAACTTGAAACTAGAAAATTGGAAGGGACAAGGAAAAGAAACAGTTAAGAGTTGCAGTAGAGGCAGTAGTGATTTCACGACTGGGTTGCCATTTGTGCCTTACTAATATTACATTTACAAATATGTACGCAAAATAGAGGTAAAAGACATTAAAGACATCTTATACATAGGTGTGTGCAAGTTACAGATAAACAATCATTTAAAAAAACTATCTACAAACGTAGAACAGCACCTTCGTTATTTTCAGTGATATTGTCTGACGAGGTCCCTTTAGCGATACAACACTAACCAAATTTACATTCCCCTATCACTTATCCTACACAGGGTTATGGAGGAGCCTGGAGCGTATCCCAGGGGGACTCAGGACACAATGCAGGGGACACCTTGGACAGGGTGCCAACCCATCACAGGGCACAATTGCACACACACCACAGACAATTTGGTAATGCCTACAGTGCATGCCTTTGGACTAGCGGAGGAAACCCCGAAAGCATAGAGAGAACATGCAAACTCCACACACAGGGGCTGGGGGTGGGATTCGAACCCCCGACCTGGAGTTGTGAGGCAACAGTGCTAACCACTAACCCACCATGCCCCCACCAATTGAATGCTCTTAATGTTATCATTGCCATTAGTATTGATGCTCGTTAACCACATTTTGTGTATTTGCTATGCTATTTATTCTATGCTAAAATGCATAAGCCTGTTATTTTCAACCCTATTACATATTTAAGAAAAACATCAGCATCAAAACCTGCGTTAGCACTGGTTCAAATGGATGAACACATGAAAAAGTTCATACTTTTTAAGAGTTACAAGCGCTAAATGGTTCCGCAATCACCAGATACACATACGATATTTTGGCAAAAATATAGAAACAGAGAGTTTAAGTAGACTAATTAGACATGTGTAATAAGCACAAGTTAGGGCTAATTAACTGTTATGGAGACATGAAACAAGAACAGGAAGCACTAACCATATAAGAAAAGTGGCAAAAACAATATTAATAATACACAATAATACTACTAATAATAGAGTAATAAGAGTAAATGAGGATCATGACTTTGCCTCTAAGTTAGACCTATGGTTATGAGCTTTGGCTGTAGAGAGGGCCATGAAGTACAGCAGTGTGTTTAACTGTAATGGCTTGCTGTTCCTAAACTGTATATTGACTGCACTCCAGTGGCCCAGTGTTGACATTACAGTCCACAGTTGTTGGTCTTGGCTTTTTCACTAGTGTATTCCACTTTATTCTTGCAAGTAGCCATGGGTTATTCTGAAAGGTGACCATTTCATTACTCGTTTCTTTGGATATTGCCATGTGCAAATGGGCAGAAAAGACGCTCCAACAAAGCAAGTAGCAATTGCACAATCACATATACTGTTACAAAATTTACTGTGTCCTGCCTGAATGACTATCATCCCATAGCACTGACCCCAATCATGATGAAGTGCTTTGAGAGGTTAGTCATGCATCACATCAAGTCCAGTCTCCCAAACACGCTGGACCCATTCCAGTTTGCATACCGTCCAAACCGTTCCACGGACGATGCAATATCCTCCACTCTCCACCTAGCTCTTACTCACCTGGAACAGAAAGACTCTTATGTTAAAATGCTGTTCATCGACTTTCGCTTAGCATTCAACACAATAATCCCTCAGCAGCTTGTCAACAAACTAAACTTGCTGGGCCTCAACCTACCCCTCTGTAATTGGATCCTGGAATTTTTAACAGCAAGGCTACCAGCATCGTGAAGGACCCAACCCATCCCTTCCACAATCTCTTCCAGCTCCTGCCATCAGGTAGATTGCTCAACAGCTTTTTCCCCCAGGCTGTGAGAGCCCTCAACTCCAATCTCCCAGTCCCCCTCTGAGACCTCATCTACAACCCTACCTCCTGAAACCATGTACACCTCACCCACACAAAATATCTCTTTTGCACATTTACAGTATGTACGTAAAGTTTTTTGTAAAGTTTTTTTGTAAAGTTTTTGTACAGTAAATTTTTGTATAGTCAACTAAATTGTTTTTCTTATACCTTTACGTTCGTATTTATGTCTAACTTGTATGTAGCACTGTGGTCCTGCGAGACACGACATTTCGTTCGACTTGACTTGACTTGACTTGACAAAAACACAAAAAAGGAAACTAAATAATATGCAGATAATAGCATAGTTCAATAATATGCAAATCTTAAATATTGCTTACCCCAGGGGACAGGGTGTAAATGTTTTTATTTAGATTTTTCCAGGAGTCATTGTTATAGCGTGGTTTGGAGAACAGGCAGTCGGGATTAACAAAGGCAAATCCATAGTTCAAGGTCAGAGTACAAGCACATTTGGGGAAATATGCAAAACATATTTTAAGGACTAGGCCCTCTGACAGGAGAGATAGCATAGTTTAGAGATACAGTTGTAACAGATGCAGGACTTCATAAAGACATGGCAAACAAAAGGAGAAATGAGTGGGCTACAAAAGACATGGGTGGGAGGACATGGGAAACATGGGTGGGAGAAGCTAGACTGAGTGAGAATTATCTGGGGCCATGGCCAGGGCAGAGCTAATGGAAAAATAGGTTCTCTGACACAGGATATTCAGGTTTATTGCTGATTTTGAAAGGTAATTAAACAGGAAATAAATGAATTATTAATGAATTATAAGTGGTATTTGTGGTCTTATCCTTTTACTTGAGTCAGATTTGCAGTACTGCACCAGTATTTCAACCTAGGCACGGATGTAGGCTACAGTTACAACACTTAATCCCCATTTTGTTAAGGTTTTTTGTAAGTTTAGATTTGTTTACTCTTTCCTTAACTTATCTACTTCATTTCATTGTGCATTAATGGTAATAATTAAAAACACTTTTTGTGGACACTTACACCCATATGTGGGCCTTCCCTAAACGGTTGCCACAACGTTGGAAGCAATTGTATAGAATGCCTTTGTATGTTGTAATATTACAATTTCCCTTTACTGAAATTAAGGAGCCCCAACCTGTTCCA